AAAGGGGTCTGTTTCGGCAGGAATGCGAGTCATCAGGGTGCTCTGTTAGCTGCGGCTCTGTGATATGGTCAGTACTTTATCAAGCCCCAGAGAGAATCTCCGCTAACCCTTATCTCAGCCTTTATCACTGGAGCACAGCATAGTGGTAACGTGTGTCACGTGGGTTAAACGGCAGCACGAGGACAGACAGCGGCACGTTCAATCCACCTCTCTTTCACAGTCAGCATGCACTCCGGCAAAAGGTCTGTTTGAAGATCAACAAAAGTGATTGTGCACTATTTTCTTAAAGGGATAGTTCCTCCAAAACTAATATTCTGTCATTATTTACTCACTCTCATGTCATTCCAAACCTGTTTGACTTTCTTTCTTCTGTGGAACACAAAAGAAGATATTTTGAAGCTGAACTATCTCTTTAACTCATCATGCCGAATGCTCATGGTCAGGTGAAATAAGATACACAAGCTTCTTTCATAACAGACACGTGACACAACTTAAAATAAACAGCTCTGTCAGGGTCAGTGATTAACACTGCTGTTTTTGTGTTGAGATCTATTACTTTTTACCTTTTTATTGAATTAAAAACAAGTTAGTAGCAAAGAAAAAGTTTTATTAGAGTAAAAAGTACAAAAAAAAAAACTCTGAGTAATACTTTTATTATAACATCTAAAAAAATTAATAAACAAATGGAGGAATAAACACTCTAAATATCTTCTTTTGTGTTCCACGGAAGAAAGAAAGTCAAACAGTTGCGGAGGACATAAGTAAATTATGACAGAAATGTAAATTTTTCTGGTAAACTATCCCTTTAATTTTTGGGGAAAACTGAAAAAAGCTCATTTTAAACTATTAATAACATCATCATTTTCTAGAATTTTGGTGATTATACTTAGATCTTCTTAAATGGGCATGAATTTAATCTCCAATAATTTTTTAAATATTGCAAATTATAAAAAAAATAAAAATAAATAAAAAAACAGTAGTAGTACTTTTATTATAATGGCTAAAAATAAATAAATAAAACTGTTTTTATTTATTAACAGTCTTAAAACTGTTAAAACTATAACTATAATAAAATACTTGTTACAGTAAAAGTGTTCAAAAATTATTGTAAAAATTAAAATTAAAAAAATGATTTTACTTAAAATGTTAAGTAGTGTAATCATTAATATATTGTCATTAATTTAAAAATGTTGTTGAAAGATTTTCATACATTCTATTTTTATTT